CAAAATCAAATAATATATCAAAACATTTATTTGAAATCATAATACTACTTTTCAGTATGATATAAAAATTAGTAAATCCACAATATAATCATACACAATTCACATGTACAAGAAAGAATTTTCAGAGTTACCTGGTACTCTTTAGCTTACAAAAATTCACACAAAGATTACTCCAAAATTCTCAAGTCTACAAAATTACACATAAATATTTATTAATATAAACTCAGAATTACTCCAGAGCTACTCTAAAATTCTAAGACTACCCTCTAAACCAAAATTTCATAAACATATTAACTCTCCCAAATCTAGGCATTTATAATAGAATTATTTTGAAAAATAATTTACATATAAGGCTATTTAAATTTAACAAAAGTATATATATATATATATATTTAATTATAAACAAACTATAGCTTTATTTAATTTTACAAAATTCTCAATTTATAATTTTTCAAGCCTTCAAAAATTATTTCAACAATATATCTTTAACTTATTCAATATTTAAACCGATTAAAACCTCAATAATATATTAAATAACTCAAATAAATTATTTAACTCAAATTTAATCGGTAAAAACATATTACAAGTCTAAATAACAAATTTTTCAACTAAAATCTTAGTTTAGAATTCTCAAAGTAATCATTCAACAAAAATAAACCGATTAAAATTCCTTAATAATGGATCTTTAAATTTCTACGGTCATATATTGTCAAAACTCCATATTTACTCTATACTCAAACGGTAAAATTTTCTCTAAACATGATAATAATACTAATAATATAAAGCTATAAATATATAGGAAATATTCATAAAGAAAATATGATAACAAGAAGTAGTTTTGTGTACCTAAATGATCTCCAAAACCGTCAGGTACTCTACAACTCGACTCTCTCTCTCTTTTTTCTCTATGCTTCTCTCTCTCTTCTCTCTTCTTTTGCTCTCTTCCTCTTCCGTCTGCTCCCTCCACTTGAGAATCATCTAGGGTGAATGTATTTAATAGCCCCAGGTTCAATTTTTTCCACTGCCTACGCCTTATCCTATTTATCTTGCAGTCGTCCCTCCCCCTTCTTTTTCCTTCTTCATTAATTAACCCCCCCCAAATTTCAACTCACCGTGGAAGGGGGGTTGTTTTTTTTTTTTTACTCATAAAGTATTATTTTAATAAGATATTATAATAAAATATTATATCTTTTTTTTTTTTGCACGTTACAAGACTAATCCCAAGATGCCTCGTAGGTATCGAGCCCAAGACCTGGCGGGTACGCGGCGCCTTGCCTTCCCCTATCAACCAGTCAGACCGACCCTTGCAGGCAAAAGTTAACTTATTTGATAGTTGCTTTGTCCCCTCCCCCGCCCCCCAAAAAAAAACATGCTTCTCATCCTCTCCGGATCATTTGGACCACTGAGAATGTAACTAGATTTAATTTATTTGAATTTAGCCTGATACATATACCGAAAAAAATTATTTTATAAAATATTTTAATTATAGTGTTTTTCTTGCTAGATACATATATCCTTCTCTATCCTATTTGAGATATTTTCAAATACTAAATGTGAATATCTTTCTCAGCAAAAATTCAAATATTAATTTATCACATTGTGAGGAATAATTTTTTTTGTTGGACTCAATATTTTTTCTTTGTTGGGTAAGTGCGGGTATTCTCTTAGTGGAAATAATCATGTTCAAAGCATCATTAGGTACTAAATATAGGCACTTCTTTTATTAAGAATTTAAACTTTGATTCACCATTTCATAAGGAACTTGTTTTTTTTAATTAAACCCAACTCTTTATTAGTAGACTTAAGCTTATTAGTTATAATAGTTTTACTGCAATACACTCCCAAACATGGATCCATCCCAACAAGTTCAGACCTTCAAGAATAGTCCAGTTTGTCCCTCCTCCGTAAATCAAGTAATATTACTTCTAATCCTCAATATAAGTTTTAAATAACTAATTTAAAAAGATTAAAAAAATTACAACATTATTTTAAAATATTTATATCTATCTCTAAAGTCTAAACTAATATGAATCACTTATAAATTAATATATAATCTAATAATACATATAATTATTTTAGAAAAATTATGTAACATATGTTATACTCTTCCGGTCCTAAATATAAGAGTCTTATACTAGTGTGTATAAATGTTTTATATTTATGACCGGCGGAGTACTACCTGTCGTTTTTAATATAAGAGTTAACTGACTAGGTTAATTAAATTAGTTATTTATAGTGAATATTTTTTGTTTTTCCTAAAATATCATTGCTAGTGCAGTATATTGATCAGAATTAACATTATTGCAAGAACTATTTTAAAAAAAATACATATGATAGATAAAAAGGATTAGAGTCTTATATTTAGAATAAAAATAAAAATCAGACAAAATTTTATATCAAAAACAGGAGATAGTAATTAAATAATTTGGTAATCTTTTCAATTTTACCAAATTAGTTAATTGTATAATACTGTATCATTCTCAGACTTAAGCTCACCGTTTCTGAAAAGCACCTTGGTAGAAAATTTGTCACGTTCTGTTTAGTCATTTGGATGGAAGGCGGAGCGGGCGTCGGCTCGGCATCTGGACCGTTCGCGTTGGTTTGGGTCTTGGAGGCGGCATTGACACGGAGACGCGCCGCCACACACGGCGTCAGACATTGACCGCGACTTTGAAGTTATGATTAAAACGATAAAATAAAACAGCACATGAGCAACTCTGGATCCCACTAACCAAGGTGAGGCTCCTGGATATCCCATTCCCATGATGAGGGAACTCGGGTTTGGACTTTGACTTGGGGTGTGTTTGGATGAAACCAAACCGTGGTTTGGAAAAGTGATTCTGGAGAATAGATTCTGGAAAAAATAGATTCTGTGAAGAATAGATTTTGTAAAAAAGTGATTCTGAGAAGTGAGAGTGTTTGGATAGTTGTTATCAGAAGCACCTTTTATATATACAAATTACTAAAAAAAAGACATAAGTTAATATGATAATTACAGAAAAAATAGATTTTATGATATATTTTAATTTGAAGAAATAAAATTGTTAATAATATATTTTTTACCAACATAATTAATAATACATAAGATAATATAATTAATAAATAATTAATGTCTATATATATTTATAAAATATAAGATTAAATATATTTATAAAAAAATATGTTTATAAAAAAAATAACAAGATACATATCATATAGGCCCTCACACTCTCCCTTTTTTCTCCAAAAGCAAAAAAATTTTGCTTTTTCCAAAACCATGGTTTTGGAGTCAAAACCATGGTTTTGGAGTCAAAACCATGGTTTTGACCCAAAACCATGGTTTTGGTTTTTGGAGAGGCTGTTTGGGTAGCATTTTCCCCAAACCATGGTTTGGGTCCCCAAACCATGGTTTGGGGTGCTATCCAAACAGAGCCTTGGTCCCACGAAACATGATGCACAGCTCTTTTGAAAAACCAAAGCAGTCAAAGAAATATAGAGGAACTTTTTGATGGCAAAAATGTAAGAAAAATTACGCAAATTCTAGATAAAAAATTAATCACTATTAGGTTATGATAAATAATTTATGAAAATACAAATTAGATAAGCTATAAATTTATAAATATAATTCGAAAATATCACCCTTTTTTCTTTTTACTTTGAACCAAATTTAAAATTAATTTTTATATTAGGTTTATATTATCAGTATCCATATTTTAAAACTAATGGCAGAAAATTTTCTATTTTTATACTTACTCAAGTATTTATAAAATCGATCATCAATAAAGAATCCATCATCTAAAAGGTTGAGAGCCAGATTCTTATTAATTGTTTCAATTTGTTAGCGCAAGTAATTTATTTTAAGAGTGCTAGTCGTTTTCAATTATTTTTTTAACATATTATGAGAGATGATGAATAATTATATAGTATGTATGTATTTAATTATTATCTATAATTATAAATGGAATTATTGATTAAGCCGAGAATTGAAACGTTTATATAAATAAATATTATAAGAAATTAGTACCAAAATATAATTTCAACAAATCACATTATTTATAGGGAAAATCGTAAAAAAGAAGACCACCAAATAAAAAAAATTACAAATAAGAACCCATTCCAATATTAATATAAGTGTTAATAATAATAGTATGAGTTTTGACAATAATTTTTATGAACAGGTTCCTATATATAATTTTTTAATTTTAGAGTTTTTTTTACTATGTTCTCATATTTATAATAGTCACGCAACGCCTCTGATATTATTATGCGGAGCGTGAGTAGAAATTTATGGCTTGAATTCTCTTTCTTTTTACCACCGTGGTTTGAATTTTCTTAATGAATAAAAGAGTATAATTTATTTCTTAAATTTCATACGACAGACAAGGCAAAAATTCAATTAAAAACAGCACCTCACAATACTCCTCTGGTCCTTAATATAGTACTCAATTATTAAATTGGTTTTAGTCCTAAATATAAGACTCATTTCTTATATTTATCAATTTTCTCTAAATTACCTTTATGGATACCCCTACAACCATAATTAAATAAAAAAAAGAAGAAGGAGTATTAAGAAAGATGATTATGGTATTTTAGGAAAAATATGTCACATTTCTTATAATTAATTAACTTGCTTAACTTTCTTAATCTAATTAAATTAGTTAAATATTTTTTATATTAAGAATTGGAGGAGTACTTTCTTTTCGTGGTCTCTTGAAATTGATAGGCCAATACGTAATTGTAACTTTTTTTTTTAATTTCTCAAAGTCAAAACATCATTAAAAAGTAAATTAAAATCTCACAAAACTACTAAAAAATATAAATATAATGTGGGTAGGGAAGGAGTTGAATTAAATTAAATATTGAATAAATAGTAGTATTTTTTTTTGTGAGATAAAATATTGAATAGCAGTATTAGTTGAAGCGTGGAAATCTAATCAAATCCGAATTATATTGGATTACCATTCAACTACACCAACCTCGTTGATTTCTATATAAGCCCCCGCCGATTTCGCCTCTTCATCGTTCTGTTGTGCTTTCCTTTTTCTCACAAAGAAGCTCAAGCTCGTTGCTTCTTCCCTCCTCCGGGGTCAAGCATTCGGTTTCCTTTCACGGTAATGATTCCTCACGATCTCGCTCTCTTCCGCATTCTATTTCTGTCGTAATTCTTCAATTGAACGCTTAAAAAATCTCCCAAAAATGAAGCATCAAACTCTGTTGTCATGTCTTCTTCTTGATTTGATGTTCTGCTTCTCTGAGTGATTTAACTTTTCAAGCACGCTATAAAGAGTGTCTTCGTAGTTACTTCAATATCTTTCTTCCTTTTTCCTTTCGCTAAATTTATCTATTTATTATCCATATCATACGTGTTTGAACTTCAAATTGTAACTGTGTGCATCATATACTTTGTTTATCGTGTTGTATTGTTTTCTGAATTTGTGTGAGTGCAAGTCTCAGGTCTAAATTGCTTTGGTTTTGCTTTTTTTTTTTTTTGCCCTTTTTGAATTGGCCATAGATGCCGATTGTGAAGCCTGACCAATCGGGAGATTCCGAACCTTTCGTTGAAATCGACCCGACCGGAAGGTACGGCCGATACCCTGAGCTGTTAGGGTCCGGTGCGGTGAAGAAAGTGTACAGAGCATTTGATCAAGAGGAAGGAATAGAGGTGGCGTGGAACCAGGTCAAACTGAGGAACTTCAGCGACGACCCGGCCATGGTGGATCGGCTTTACTCCGAAGTGAGATTGCTGAGAAGCCTCACCAATAAGAACATCATAGCTCTCTACAATTTCTGGAGGGACGATGAACGGGGCACTCTGAACTTCATCACTGAGGTCTGTACGAGCGGGAATCTGAGGGATTACAGGAAGAAGCACAGGCATGTGTCGATGAAGGCTCTGAAGAAGTGGTCGAAGCAGATTCTGAAAGGGTTGAACTATATGCATACGCACGAGCCTTGTATCATCCACAGAGATCTCAATTGCAGTAATATTTTCGTCAATGGGAATACTGGCCAGGTAACAATTGTTCGCTTCGAATTGAAAATTTTCTGTTGTTAATTTGCCCCCCATATGTTTGCTTGCTTGTCAAGTTGAAATTGGCATGAAATTGAAAAGGAAACAAAAATATTTAAATCAGATATTGTTGTCTGGCATTTGGTTGGAGAATCAAATTTGATTTTACGCAGTTATCTGTTGAGAACTTGCCGTTGCTTAAATCAATGAAAAGAGAAAAGTCGAGAAAATTAAAGGAAAGAAGTAAAAAAGAAAAATTAGTATGCACTGAATCAAGTTGGAAGCCTTTTTATGAGAAATAAAGTACGAAGATCACACGGATCAGACATTAAATTGTGAACCTGCATGAAGGAAAAGGAAAAGGTAAAATACTATTCATTATCTTGTGATCCTGTTTTTGTCATCTTTAGATGTTGAAATGATGTTACCAAGAGATTTTTTTGTCTGTACAACAGTATTGATCAAGTTCTCTAATTTCTTCAAACTGGAAATAGTTTGACACGGGCGTCTTGTGAGTTTAAAAAATATCCAATTTTCATGATTTCTTTCCTTCTAAGTTTTTTTCTAGATATATATTACTCTGATCTTCAAATCTCCGATTATTCTCTTTTTCCAGCCCGGTTTCACCTCTTAAATCATTCCCTTTCCTAAACAAATTGAAAACCACCCTAAACAAATCGATATTAAACTGAACATAGTCCATTTCTCTTGGAATAATTTCATTCCCATGGTGATCGTATAGGTTAAGATTGGAGACTTGGGTCTGGCAGCAATAGTGGGAAAGAACCACTCTGCACATTCAATTCTGGGGACACCGGAGTTCATGGCGCCGGAGTTATACGACGAGGACTACACAGAGCTGGTGGATATATACTCATTTGGGATGTGTGTTTTGGAGATGGTGACAATGGAGATTCCTTACAGTGAGTGTGACAATGTGGCAAGGATTTACAAGAAGGTTTCGTCCGGGGTGAGACCTGAGGCACTGAACAAGGTCAGAGATCAAGAGGTTAAGGTTTTCATTGAGAGGTGCCTTGCTCAGCCAAGGGCAAGGCCTTCTGCTGCTCAGCTCCTCCGGGATCCTTTCTTTGATGGCATTGTTGATGATGACGAAAATGATAATAATTCTATTTCCTAATGACTCACAAAAAATGGGTGATTTTATGTAAATTTTTACAATCATTATTTTCATTATTGGTTATCAATCAAATTATATTGCAAAATCTCAAGTTAAACCCGTTGGCTTCATTTTCTTTGATTTATATTCCCCGTCTTCTAGTTTATATGTCACCGTCGATTTGGGGCTCGGCTTTGTTACTGTCAAATTGAATTGGATTGAACGTGAGTGGAAGTTAAAAAAGGGAGGCTGCTTTATGGACGACGGTTGGTTATTTTTTGCCACTTGGTGCACAAGAATTTTTCGTTTATACGAAACTTCAATTAATATTCAACTACTTCATGTGCAAAATAAATATTCAACTTGTTTTTTAAAAGTTTCAAGCTTGACTAAGTACCTAATCATGACTATTTGAAGACCACCTAGTTAAAAATGTGACAAGTTCTTAGGGTACTATTAAAATAAAATTAAAAACCTGACATCTCGATGTAATACTGAGCAAAGAGATGGCATTATGAATTTTTGTGGAAAAATGAAATTCATGAGGCAGGATTTCCAGCAACAATGGAACCTGGGACACTTCAAATGATGGAGAAAGATTTTATCACTGAACTTTGTTGGACAAAAAGAGGGCAGTTCTGACAATGGACAAATCTTCTGTCCCTTTGCGAACTTCATTGGCAAAAGGAGATATTGATGCGACGTGAGAACACAAAAGAGGGATTTAGATTTGAACGTTAAGAGTTTAGAAGTCGAAGAATAACGGGAAAGCAAAAAAGGAAGAGAGAAGGGTTTAAACGACCTTTGAGGAACATAAAGAGGCAAATTGAATTGAAGCAATCAAAGATGAGCTGTTTGGATTCTTTAAAAAAAAAAGGAGAGAGGGGGGGGGGGGGGGGAGAGAGAGAGAGAGGAAAGAAAAGCTAAAATGGGTTGAATGATGCAAGGAAAGGGAGCTTCACCTTGAAGACTCGTGATATGGTGCAATGCCCACTCACCTTTGTTGGCAAATTATTGCACTCATCACTCTTATAAAGCACCACTCACCGTTTTCACATGTTGACTTCGCATTTTGTTCTTCATGCTTTCTCTATGTTCCATTATTCCTCTTCCTAACTAATCTTTATATTACCAAAAAATATGACTTGATATTTCGTCTCGTGAAAATACAGAATTAAATTGTAAATTTGTTCTAAAAGTTTTCGTTTAAAAGTAATATAGTCCTTAAAGTTTTTTTTATTTAATATCGCTCCAAGAGTTTTAAAATCGAGTAATGTTGGCCTATCCTGTTAAAAAAATTAATGTTGATTATTAAGAAAAATTGACTTCGACCTTTGATATTTTTAACAATAAGGGGCAACATTGTTGCATTTTAATATTTTTGGGATAACTTTGGAAAAAAAAACTTACAAAACAATATTGTTATTGAATAAAAACTTTCAAAATGAATTTACATCTTAATTCATAATTCATATAGATATATATATCGGCACACACATGAGTTGATCTTTGACCTCATAAAAGTATATATTCAAATAACACTTACAAAGATACATATAAGTATATAACCCACTAACAAGATCAATACATTTAACAATTTGTTATTATTTTTTAAGCTTAAACAAGCAGGCGTAAATTCTAGATCCAATAAATCAATTTTCATAAAAAATAAAAAATCACTTTTTTTTTTTAAGCTTAAACAAACGGCCCTTTAATCAGTAACAATTGATGCTCAATATTTGAGTCAAACCAAAATGGGTGCCAAGCTCTCTCAACAATTACATGAATAATCTCCAAATTAAATTCAATTGAATCATATCACTATAATTTCTTTTTGTCACCCGTCGCATGTTCTGTATTTTTATATAATATATATATATATATATATATATATATGTAGAGCGCATAAAATCATATAATTTGGGGAGCACGCTACGCAAAACGCACACATGGCCCCATTTCCTCAAAATGTGTAGGTCATGTTTGATGCGTGTATACTATCTCTGATTTTTAATGGTATTTTCTTGTTACGGTAGTTTTTCTAACAATAGTAATTGTAGCTAATACATTTGATTAGTAAGGATATTTTAAGAAAGACAACATCTATTTGTTACAAATAACTAACTTAACTTCTTTCCTTAATTTCCTCAAGTTAATCAACTAGTTCTTATAATTAGGACTGAAGATAGTATAATATAATAATTACTTGTATTCAGTATGAGATAACGGTGTCATTTTAAGCATTTGTTTTTTAATACAAGGCCACGGCCTAAGTCGTGATTCATGAGAGAGAGAGAGAGATAGAGGCAGACTAAGCATCTATGATTAGGTTAGACAATTAGACGTCCCACATCGTTGAAGTTAGAACAACGGAGCGTGATTAGAAAAAAAATATCTTATTAGTTGGCCAAAAAAACAGAATATATAAAGATATGATATATATATATATATATATATTATTAGTTGGCAAAAAAAAAATATAAAAAGAAAAAAGAAAAATATACAGATATAATTTGCGCCAAAATATGATTGGGCCGAGCCCATCAGCCCAAATGAGCGCACATTGTCAAATATCGTGTGCATCATGCCCATTACTTTTTCAAGCCCAGTCCCATTCAATAATTGATTGATGATTATACAACCCTATTTTCACCGTTTCCACAAAATCAATCACAGTACTGAGAAATTCTTTTTATAAAAAATTTTAAATATTATAATCAAAATTAAAGAGAAATTTAAAATTCATTAAATCTGTTTTAAAATAAAATAAAATAAACTTTCAATTTCGCCCCATTTAAACTTATGTGGTGTAACTTTGAAAAAATGAACTAATATTAAATAAGAGAAATATAAGAAAAATGTAATAAATGACAAAAATTACCATAAAAATTTATACAACTTACTATATCAAATTTTAATAAATCCATGTTAACAAAATTTTATATTTTAACGACAACTTTATAAAATTTAACTAAAAAATGCCAATATAGCTCGATGACAATGTGACATAAAAGTTCCTCTACCTTGTGCAAATTTACGAGTTTGATTCAGCCAGCTTTCAAACTGATTTAAGAAATAACAGCTATAATTCTTAAGAAACACTACTTCCAATTTTTAACATGAGAGTTTGTTTGGCTTTTATTTTATCCTAAATATAAAATTCTAATTCACTTTGTCTCTCATATTTATTTATTTTTTTTAAAGTAGTTCTTATAATAATAGTAATTCTAGCTAATACATTTGATTAGTAATGATATTTTAAGAAAGAAAATACTTATTTATTATATATAACTAACTTAAATAATTTTTTTAATCTATTTAAATTAATCAACTAGCTAACTGTTATACTAAGGTTGCGTATTATAACTGTATTTATTCCTGTATTTATTCCGTACCTATTCCGGACATTGTACGAGGTTCTTCTCATTTCACACAAAATCCGTCATCTTCAGAAATTGGTTCATCATGGACATCAACGAAGCTCCGATGATCCCAACTATACTTAATATTTACAGTTTCATGCCGATCGGCGTCGTGAAAATCCAAGCACAACACATATGCATGTCCTTATCCTCTTTCCTCAATTAAGAACCAAACCAGACAGCGCACCTTAGTCCTATGATCAAATCCGAGGTGGCTAGCTCCGCACAGACTTCTCGTTTCCATCAACCATGCAATCCCCGAAAACAACATCGTCCTTCACTTTCACTTTGTTCTTAACACCCAAGAACTTGTTCTTCCTTCTTCTTCTTGTCTTTCATGTCTTCTTCATCATGGTTTGTGCAGATCAAGTTTGGTATTCAGAATCTAAGTCTTTCTTCAGTTTTGTCAGAGCCATTGATCCCCAGAACGTGCTTCATATTGATGCGTCCTCAGCTGCGAGAATCTCATCATCAAATCCATGCATGATGAAGTTGAAGGGTGTTAGATGCGACTCTGAAGGTACCAACATTGTAGTAATCAGGTTAGAGAACATGAATCTAAGTGGGACAATTGATGCGGAATCACTGTGCAGGCTTAAGAAGCTGAGGGTTTTGAACTTAGCTGAGAATACCATCAGAGGTATTCTTCCAAACTCAATTCTTAACTGTGCCAGGTTGAGTTATCTGAATCTCTCAAGCAATCATTTGAGTGGGAAAACACCCAGTGGCTTAATGAAACCCAAGTTTCTGAGAAAACTCGACATCTCCAACAATAACTTTGCTGTGAGCCTTCATCATCAAGAATCTAATCACTTCTCTGCTCATTCGTTGAATGAAGAAGAAGGTGGAATCCAATCAATGGCAGATGCTCCCGTTAGTACCATTACTGTATCCGATGATGAAGGAGACGATTTCTCGATCCTATACGTTTTGGTCATTGGAATAATGTTGTTATTTTTCGGCTTTTACTTCGCAAGCATTCGGGTTGGGCAAAAAAGTAATAATGCAGATAATAAAAATAATAATAAGACGTTGAAGAGCATTAAGCAGTTTCATATCAGAGAGGCTACAACTGAGGTCAAGGAAGAACAAGAAGAAATGAAAAAGATGAAGAAAATTAGAGATACAGATGAGCTTGTGTTCTTTGAAGAGAATGAGAGATTCACAATGGAGGATCTTCTTCAAGCCACTGCTGAGTTAAGAAGCCAAAGCTTCTGTAGCTGCCTTTATAAGGTAAAACTCAAGAACGGCGCTCATTATGCAGTGAAGAGATTGAAGGATTTGCAGATATCTCCATATGATTTCAATGAAACATTGAGGAGGATAAGCATGTTGAAACATCCTAATATCCTTCCCCTTGTTGGTTACCGTTCTGCCACTGAAGAAAAACTCGTCATTTACAGATATCAGAACAATGGAAGTCTGCTAAATCTTTTCAAGGGTAAGTTTACTCTAATTTTTCAAGCATATCTATCTCCACATTTCCATTATAACCATCCAACAAATCAATCTAGATTTGAACATTATCAGGCCTTAAATGGGTAAGCTTTCGCGCACGCGCGCGCACACACATATAGATATATATATTTTGGTGAAAATATAAAGTCCTTTAGATCAAACCAGATTAGTGAAGGTGAGTGTTGGAACAATAATTTCCTATTAGAAACTACAAAAAATCACGTTTTCTATGGAAGCAGCCTTTAGGATCCTGCTTCTTCCATCAAAATGTGAATTTTAATGATTTCCCTGCAAGAATTCAAACATTGTAAGTTCGCTATTATCATCTACCACGTAGTTTTATTTCTGTGCAGACCATCTTGAAGGCAAGAAATATTTTCCGTGGAAGCTGAGGCTATCTATGGCACGAGCGATAGCAAAAGGATTGGCATTTATGCACCAGAAAATAGAACAACAAGGAGATATAATTCCACATGGGAATCTAAAACTATCAAATATCCTACTCAACAACAGCAACGAACCACTGATAAGCGAGCATGGATTATCAAAGTTCCTAGACACAACGACAAGATTATTCTTCATTTCTGGCCTGGCATACACAGCCCCAGAGAGGAGTTTATCAGAAAAGGCCGATGTTTATAGCTTTGGAGTGATCCTCTTAGAGCTACTCACGGGGAAGAGCATAGAACTGAGCGGAATAGATCTCACAAAGTGGGTCAGATCAATGGTGAAGGAGGAATGGACAGTGGAAGTGTTTGACAAGGAGGTTAGGGAAAGTGAACATCAGTGGGCATTTCCTGTGTTAAAAACAGCCCTTATGTGCGTTTCGAGTCTCCCAGAAACACGACCTTCCATGGAAGAGATCGTGGAGATGATAGAGAAAGTGATGATGGAGGAGAAAGAAGGTGATGATGATAATAATGTTCACACAACTTGCTGCCCTATTGTTGGATCCAATAAAAAACAAGATTTTTGCTCGCTTCATAAGATCATTCCTGATACGTGGGATTCTCCGGCATCCAATTATTGAGAGTCTCCAGCTCCTTCTTCACTTATCTGCATTTTAAAATCTGATTATAAGAAGCTGCTAGCTAGGAATATTATTCTATTTCATCATTGGGAACACTATTTTACACACACACACACACCTGGTAACATGTTCACTATCAAGGGGAAGTGAGAGAGAGAGAGACCATAACCTTTCTCTGTCTTGGTGTCCAATTGGTGATCAGAAACAACGATCCATTATCTATAGCATGTTTGAAAATTCATTAGGTTATTTTGACCAAAATAATGTTAGAGTACTTTACCTCAAAAGTTGCAAAATCCTTCCCCCCCCCCCTCCCCGAGTGACCTAAACAAATATCATGTTTCTTTCTTCTACTTAACTATTAACTAATTTAGATGGATTGCCATGCATTAGTTAATCACAGTAAACTTGACATGATGCTCCTAGAATGCCCTTATATAAAATTAGATTATACTACCTTCGGTCCTTAATTAAATAAGAGCTAATTGGAGGGTTAAATTTAATTAGTCCTAGATATAATACCTTAATTAATTTTGTCTTCTAAATCTATAATGTTTTATCTAAAACATCCCTATTAATTGTAAGGGGTTCCTGGTAATTTAAGAAAATCAATATACATTTGTTATAATTAACCAATTTAACTAATTTTCTTAATATTTCCAAATTAGTTATCAGGCTCTTATATTAAGAACCAAAAATAGTTAGGTAATTTAGTTTGAGAAAAAATGATAAATATAAGAGACAAAGTAAATAAATATTTTAAGGTTAAATTTAACATCCCAACTAATTCCTATAAATGTTAGGTGGGAACAGGAGGAAGTATGTTTTAATTACAATATTGTACTACCTCCTATTCTTAATATATAGAAGAGTTAGTTGACTAATTTGAGTAGATTAAAAAAATTTGTTAAGTTGGTTATTTGTAATAAATAAATATTATTTTTCCTAAAATACCTTTGCTAATCATGTGTATTAGTTTGAACCACCATTTGATTGAATATTTAATATGTGCAATTCATACAAGGTTTACTTTGAAAATAAATAAATAAATATGAGAGACAAAATATATTGAGATTTTATATTTAAGGCCAAATTAAAAGTCAAACTAGCTCTTATATTAACGTCGGAGCATCGGAGGTAGTATGATGATCAAATTATGAATTTATTACAGCCAGCGAAGTACTAAGGACTCAAAAATCATGTATGTTTTTCTAGAATTTATGTTTGATCAGTTTCACCTATATACAAGTTCATTCCTTGCCGGATCATGTAATACTAAACATTCAAAGATTACAAGATTTTCAGCTTTTATGTGTCGCCAGTGTTTTAATGGTTTTTTTTTTTTGGCAATTTCACTTCTACCAAATGCTCTCCATGATGTGATATACAGTTCTAAAGAGAATGATCAATCTTTGAATCTGCTTCTCCACAATAATATACTTTATACTTTCTCCATTTTATAAGTGATTACTCGTATCATTTTATATTTTCATTATGTTTCAAAAATATTATTGCTTCAAGACTTCAAAGGAATATTACTCCCTCTTTTTTCTAACTCGCCCAATTTTTAACTCTTGATTTATTAGGAAAAGAGAAAATATAAAAGAAAATTGATATTAAGAGTTTTTTTCTTTTGTTAAACACACTTCGAATTTTTTACCATCTAAACCATTTAATAGCTTTTTTAATTAGTCTATGCATGCGAAAAGGATATCCTCTTAACTTGTTTGATACCTGGATTGTTTCGATTAAATTTGGACATTTCCAAGTTAAGTATTTCATAAAAATATTAAAATTATAACATATAAAAAAATAAACCTGGTGAATTGTCAAAATTTGATGTGAATGGTTTGGAACTAAAGTGAAGGGGGAAATAAGAGAAATTGGATGGTTGGACATTTACTTGAACACCAATAATCAAAATCAATATATCAATATCAACATATAATAAAATTTATAATAAACTGCATTATTGAAAATTATGAATAATACCACTTTTTTATTGTATATTTTGTATAATACTTAAGAAAACATGTCTAATTGCTGCTTTTAAAAAATATTATGTGCAATTAATTTGTACCTAAAAAATCCACATTCCATACCTAATAGAAATGGGGGAAAAACAACCCAATGAGGCTTTTATTAAGTGATTTCTCCAACATCCACCCACACTGAAGAAATTCTGGTGGGAACATGGTCCACTACTTGCGTATAATAAAGGTATTTATTTTATTTATTTGGTTGCTTGTAAATGTGTTAAGAGAGGCATGTATCTCCTTCCACTTGAGCTGTTAAATTAAATGTCATTGGAATCAACTTTGCTTATCCTTTTCAAGAAATGCCTCTCCCTCTCACCCTCTTGACAGAATTTCACATTATTATAAATATCACAAGAATTTTATTTTTATTTAAAAAAACAAAAGACACAAACTTAAAAGGAAGAACACAACCACTTCAATATAAGTCAATAATGTTTTTCTTGTCAAATGAGTCAATAATATATTGACTCACTTATTCTTGGAAATATTCCACATAGTATGCCATTGCTTTTATTCCATCTTTTATTTTTTGTGTTTAAAATAGAGTCCTTTATTGCAAAACAAGTCCTTTAGGCCAGAGTGGTTTTCAGCACCTTTGGTATGATACTTATAATTTCATTATTTTCTTTCACTTCAATAAAAGTATTTTAATACTTAGGATTCAAACCATTGTGATATATTATTAATAAATTCTACTTGAATTGAAATAAAAACACATGCTTACGATTAGATCTGTTTTATGAATGTATGATGCAGCAAGTAAATAAAAGTTTGATAGATATAATGATTAGATATAGAGTCTAATATAGTCATATTATAGAATTGTTTGGATTCACAATCCGTAGGTATGTTCATGTAAATCAATACAAAACTCTTATCACATATTTACCTTGTATTTTGTAAATTATGATTGAAAAGTTACTTACAGTTTAATTGTTTTTGAAATATATGCATATAAAAAAGAATCAAATTTACACATTAAAAAGATAACTACATTAATGTTAGAAATAAATATGACAGAACAATATCAAAAAATAATTTTTTTTAGCATTATCAATATTATTGATACTAACATCAAGTATCAAACTTATAGTAAAGTGTGAAAAATATGATTTGCCTTTAAGCTTTCATCAACTATAGGTTTCACCTAATAATTCATATTTAAAACATATATACCATGAATATATAATAAATTGAAACACTCGATGTTCTATCATGGGAGGAGTGAAATTATTGAAAAAGTAATTAAATAATGAAATTGAGTTTGGGTGCCATAAGAGTGATGAGCGCTTTAAGTTTATTATATTTAAACTGTCTATACTTGGTCTAGACCATCAAAATTTATTTATTTTTTATTTTTATGTTTTTAAAAATAATTATTTTAATGCATATAAAATCTAAAATAAATATAATATCTCAACTATCATTTTTTTTAAAAAGATAAATTTTTTATTTAAAAATAATTAATTAAAAAATTTAAATCTAAATCTTAAATACTACCTTCGGGCTCCTGTCCTTAATATAAAACCCCATTTGACTTTTATTTTGGTTCTACATATAAGATTCCAATTCACTTTGTTTCTCATATTTATACATTTGTTTTTAAAGTAACCCTTCTAATAATGATAGTTCTAATCAATACACTTGATAAGCAAAGATATTTTAGGAAAGTCTCTTCAAATTAGTTAACTGACTCTTATAATTAGGACAGGAGGTAATAATATGTTTGCGGTGAAGGACAACCTTAATGGTGACATGGGATAAAATTGGAACGGTCACAGCGGATCAAAACATCATGTTTCCTTTCTTAATAACATGTTGTTTCCTAACTCTGAAGTAATCACTCACACAAACAAAATAATCTTTAATCAAATCATCATATTTAAAAATAAAATATTAATATATTCTAATTCAATAATTTTATTTTTTTTCTCCCATCAAATTCAATAATTTCATTTCGCTTAAAGTTTGTCAACGTTTACCTTTTATTATGAATTGAAAATTTTTGTACCATTTTTATTGGGTTGATATGCGAAATTGTATCCTAATGCGTTTTTATTCCTTAACTCATTTACACACGACACAACGCGTGTAACCCATAGACTTCTAAATAAAGAATTTTTGTATATTTTTTAAGTTAGTAGGTAAAACTACACCATAATACTACTTTCGGTGCTTAATATAGAACCTTGTTTGATTTTAATTTTGATCTTAAATATAAAAACCCAATACACTTTGTCTCTAATATTTATGTTTTTTTTAAGATAGTCCTTCTAATAATGATAATACTAGCTAATACATTTAATTAATAAGGATATTTTAGAAAAGACAATAATTATTTATAACAAATAACTAACTTAACTTCTTTTCTTAATCTCCTCAAATTAGTCAACTAGCTCTTATAATTAGGATCGGAAGTAGTATAGTTTAGGATGCCTATAAATATTTTATTGGTATTTTTAATTCTTTGCATCTTTTTAAAAAAATTATAATCAAATATTTTTAGGCTCTAAACGAGAGGTAGCTCTTTTTAATTCAATTCAATTGTTGTGCTAAAAAAAATCAATTCAACTGTTGTTTTCTCAACAAAAATATACTTCTCGTTTTCTAATTTTATATAAAAATTTAGCTTAGCTCCTTAAATTTATAAAGTATATTTTTAATTTTTTAAATCCTATCATCATTAGTTTGAGATTATATTTTTTTATGATTGTTACTTCTAAAAATTAAATTAAAAAATATCGGTACTTGAAAATGTTTTGTTAACATTTAACATTAAAAATGTAACAAAAACATTTGACGTTAAAAAATAATTTTTTTTTGTCATAACTCAAACAACAATTACACATGAGAAATTCAAATTTATTTATAGATTCACATTTTAAAAAAAATTTAAGAAAAATGTTAGGTGTAATTAAAGCCTGATTGTAACATCAAAATATACTTGGTGAAACGGTATTC